AGTGAGTTTTCAGAGGCTGTAAAATGCATGGGAAGAGGTTACCCATCTTTTTCTTATGGATCAGCTGGTGGACGCACACGGCCTGTTTCAGATTGCCCCACTCTTTACCTACTAGGCCACGAGAGCTACCTGCTTCCTCACTCTGGTACCATTAATATTTTTCCTTTTTCATTCTACTCCTGATAACATGAAGTGCTCTGTCCTGAGGATTCCTAAATTGAGATAGAATAGCAAGTGTCTGTGAGCGGGAGTGTGATCGATCAACCAATCAAACACGTACTAAATGCCTATAAACCAAGGTCCTGGCTCTTTAGGGATTTGCTATCTCATTGTTAAGGAGATGACAGATGAGCAGATAAATACCGACACAAGAGGTGTCACTAAGAGGTGAGTTCTCAGAGCCAATAAAACAGACAAGGAATGTCAGGAGGTTGGAAAAAGGGGAGACACCCAAGGATGGAGCAATCTGAAGAAGGTGAAAGTTAAGCTAGGTCTTATAAGATGCAATGCTTTTCTGGGTCCTTATCTTAAAACAGGAATGATAATGGATTCAGTGGAGCATCTGAGATGTGCTTGTTCCAGGGATTTCTAGGCTACATTCCTAGAATGTAGGAGGGAGAAGACAAAAAATCATTGATAACTCTAATAAAGCATTTCTTGAGTGCCACATTAATCCTTATTACAACCCTGTGAGGGAGTTACTCTTTTTGTGTATGTGTGAGAAAAATTGGTACTTAGAATTAGCCAGCTGGACTCGATTGGATGATCCAAATTTTGTTGGCAACATCCAAAGCATAATAGTCAGGAGCAAGTTGAACACAGGGCTTTTTCTCTCCATCAGGACTAATCAAAATGTTGATCTTGGACACCTCAATGTCATAGAACTTCTTTACAGCTTGTTTGATTTGGTGCTTGTTGACCTTGACATCTGCAATGAACACAAGTGTGTTGTATCTTTTTTTAAAATGAATTTTAATGAAAGTTTACAGAGACTTAGGGTTTCCATTCATTCATTGTTGCACTTTTCTCCCTGCTCACCCCTTCCCCCACTTCACTCTTCTCTTTGAAAAGTAGAAGAAAAATTTTTTCATTGTTCTATAATACCTCCCTCCAAATCCACTCCACTGTGCAGCCTTCATTCTGGACTCCTGTCATGACAATAATACCTGATCATATATCCCTTTTAACCAGTTCTCTCCCTCATCTGTTTCATTGCAGTATACATTATTTATCCCCTCTTTCTCAGTCTTCCCTCAACCCTGATGTCAGTCCTGTTTTACAACAAATATTACCCTATGCAATATTTGTCCTTTTGTGCCTGAGATATTTCACTCAACATAATGTCCTCCAGGGTCACCCATTTTGTATATTTCATAAGTTCCTTGTTTTTCAGTACTGCATAGTATTCCATTGTGTGACTATACCACAGCTTCTCTATCCATTCATTTGTTGATGAGGTGTTATCTTCTGTCTTCTTCATGGCTGTCTCAGTGGTCAGGGGAAACCTGATGATGGCATAGTGGTCAAGTTTGTTTCTCATTGGGTATTTGGGCTGCCTTCAGCATCTCAGTATCTTAGGCTGCTGGAAGGTGGGTGACATACAGATCTTTTTTTTGTGGCTGTGGACACCTTCAGGACTGCCTTCTTGACCCTAAACGCCTTTGCTTTGGCTTGTTTTGGGAGGGGCTGGGGCTTCCTTCTTTCTTTGCTACTGGCACCATTTTCATAGAAAGGAGAGGGAGGTACTCTTATCTCTTATTTTACTGAGGAAACTGAGGCCCACAGAGATTGTATGACTTTTTGAGAGTCACTCACCTAATAAGTTCACCATAAGTGAACCCGGGCAGCCTGGCTTATCTGTGCTTGCAAGAGAACAAGCATCTGTCTTGAGAGAAGTGCAGTCAGGGTGTGCCTTAGAGGCATGGAAGGTGAGATTTCATTTCACAGGCTTTGGGCATGTTATCAAGAGGGGCCAGTCCTTGGACATCATACTAGTAAAGGAGGAGGGTCAGAGGAGTGGAAGATACTCAATGAGATACATTGACACAATAACAACAATAAATGGACTTGAGCACAGCAGAGATTGTGAGGATGTGAGGATGGTGCAAACCAGGTAAGGTTTCAACCAGGGTAGCTACAAGTTGGAGTCAACTCTATGGCATCTAAGCAGAAAATGGAGACTACAGTCAGAGGTTCACACCAAGCTCTTCCATCATCTCCCCTCCCACCCAGATGTGATTTATCTGCCAGGAAAAGAGACCTCCAAAGCTCCCAGGTGCCTTTGCATTATCTCATTACGATTACCAGGCTGAATGCTGGGAGCACCAAGAAAGGTGTATTCCCTCCGTCAGATCAGTATCTGAGCTGTCATCGTGAGAGGAGAGAGAGACACAACCCAAGTGGAGCTACACTGAGCCACAATGAACCTGCAGGCACGCTCAAGGATGGACTAATATCTCCTTTCCTTTGACTAGTTCACAAGCCTAATATGATTATTTTTCTAAAGAATTCAGTGTATCCAAAGGATTAAATCCCTATTTTCATCCTTTGCCCCATCCCAGAGGGGTTCAAATTCTCCCACACCTATGGTAAGGAGTAAGATAAGCTTAGCAGCCTGACCAAGAGCTTTGTGCTGAGAATCCTCCCAGTGGTTCCACAGGAGACAGATCTGGCAGTCGCCTCCTGTAACAACTACAGCCTAGGACACACTGCAGTTTTTACTCTGTCACATAGCCACTGTGAGGCTAAAAGAGACTCTAAGTCATCTGACAACAAGATATGTCTGAGTTTGGGGTGCGTGTTGTAATAGTAGTTTCAGGGTCACACTTCCGGTAGGTCACTTCCTGTGGTGTGGGTCCACAGCTGGTCATAGCCTGACTCTTCTGGTGTCTGGCTGTGAGCCAGGGCTGTCCTGTGGCTCTGCTTGTCTTCATCCAGGAGCATCTGTGTGGGTCAACATGCCTGCACTTATACCTTTATTTAGGCTTCTGAAAATGGGCTTTTCTGAGGCTTTGATACCTGTATCTGAGAGGAAGTTAACCTCACCACAGTCTAGCCGTGGGGCAGAACAGAACTGTCTCATGGGGGTTCCAAGGCTCTAATCTTTATGGATGCAGCCTTTCTTTCTCTTGTGAAGTATTGAACTGCTGACCTTGTGGTTAGCAGCACTGACTCCTTTGGTAGGAAGTAAAGCTTTAAAAGTCAGTTCTATTTCTATTATAAAAGCATTCTCAGCTTATAAATAATTTAGAAAAGGGGGAAATAATCATCTGAATATTACTACTGCCAGAAATCATTATTAGCATAATAGTAACTAGTCCTTTTCTTTGTTTTTGGTTGTGTCTTAATGTGGTTGAGCTCATTTTGCATACACAGTTTGTATTATTTTATTCGACCTAACATGCAAAGCCATTTTCTGCCATTACATAAAGGTTTTACTTTTGTTTTGTTCGTCATTATATAAAGGTTTTTTTTACTTTTGTTTTGTTCTCCTAAAATAAAAAGTCATTTTTTAATTGCTGAAATAGATATATGTAACCTAACATTTGCCAGTTTAGCAGTTTTCATGTGTGCAATGTAGTGATAGCAATTACATTAATCATGTAGAGCAACTATCACCCATAATCATTGCCAAATTTATTTGTTTGTTTTTACTATGTACTTTTACCAAAGTAATAACATGTGCCTAGTTCAGAAAGTCACATTGTATTATTAGGCTTGTCAGGAACGGAGCAAGCTGAGCTCCCCACATCTCTATGGCAACCACCTTCAATTCTGAGCTCTTTCTTCAGTGGTTGACTTCTGTATTTCTAAACGTGATTCTTTAACCGCTTCCCCCCCCCCTTTTTAATTCTTGAGGTTTAGCTCTCACCTATTTTCCTACAGAAGAATGAAGGTTTCAGCTCTTTTACAGAGCTCCTTACAAAATACTTCTCACCAATTTGGAGTAAATATGTGGGGATATTCTTAGAGCTGACTTACATATGATTACATTCAGTACATAGTTTACACAAACCTAATTTTAACCATGATATTCCATTAATTTAGTTTTTTTCTAAGTCTGAAAAATGCACAAAAAGAGATAGATAGATAGCCATATATGTGAGATTTTTCTTAAGCTAACTTTCTAATAGTTAAATTACTGAGATACAAGAATGAATTTTTTTTTCTTTACCTTTTGACTGAATGTCACACAGTCAAGTGGGTACCTGTTGCTGTTAGGTACTATCAAATTGACATTGGGTGTGTTCAAAGTTCAAACATTCATTCTTTTGGATAGCAGCCAAACAGCTGTTATCTTCTGGGTACTACTAAATTAATTTCTATACATGTATAAGCCATATACAGAGCTCTGTGGTTGTGGTATGTAGTGTTTTATATTGCTGACAGAAAGGTTGATGGTTCATATCCAGCTGTTCCTTAGGAGAATGATAAGCTGTGTCCTCCTAATAGTATATCCTGCCTGGGAAACCCAGTGGAGGATCTGAGTTGAAACCTGTAGTGAGATTGATTTAGTTTTATAAGCTGTGTAACTAGCTCCGAGATCTAGTCAAGATGTGGAATGTTTCCATGACCTTGAATGTTCCTATATCTTTCCTCAGCCCCAGACAGAACCCGTATCTCCCCACCCCCTCCTCCAGTATAACTACTGTTCTGATTTCTGTCACCATCAGTTTTGTGTATTCCCTTCCCTCCCCCTCCCCCCCCCCCCCCCGCCCAGTTTTGTATATTCTTGAATTGGCATAACATTGTGCAGGTTCTTAATGTGCAAGACATCACTTTGAGAGGCTCAGCTTGACTCTGACGGCTCCTTTATCACAGTCTAGCCCACATTTATCTGTGTAACCCTGGTCCTAGCTCCTTCAGGACATGGGAAAGCTGCTACCTGGCCAGGTGTATATAGGCATCAGCTGCCTGGAGGACAAAGGGTGGTGGCCTGGGTCCTGGATGGGAAGCAGTATCCTGGGGCACAGACTTCACCAAATGACTTGTTTGACCAGGCCCAGCCACAGTCACAGCCACAACCCCAGCCACAGAGCTCGCCTCAGTCCCAGCCACAGCCCCAGTCCCAGCCACCGTCATCCAACAAGCGTCCCAGCAACAGCACTCCGCCCCCCACGCAGCTCAGCAAAATCAAGTATTCAGGAGGGCCTCAGATTGTCAAGAAGGAGCGACGACAGAGCTCTTCCCGCTTCAACCTCAGCAAAAACCGGGAGTTGCAGAAGCTTCCTGCCCTGAAAGGTACATGGACACCAGTGGCGAGGCTGGGAAACTGGGCCTTGGGAATGCTGGGCATTGGTTTTGGGGTATTTTACCGGGAAAGGAGGTCTGTAAAATGTGAGAGTTTGTCCCACCACAGCTGGGAAGTCCCAGGGAAACAGGACAGTGGAAGAGTGGGTGGAAGGAAAGCCCGGTGGGCAGGTGGAGTGTTGTAGTGAAGGACTTGGAAGGAGAACCTGTCACCCACCCCCACCCTCTCCAGACTCTCCAACCCAAGAGCGGGAGGAGCTGTTTATCCAGAAGCTACGTCAGTGCTGCGTCCTCTTTGACTTTGTGTCAGATCCACTCAGTGACCTCAAATTCAAGGAGGTGAAGCGGGCAGGACTCAACGAGATGGTGGAGTACATCACCCACAGCCGTGATGTTGTCACCGAGGCCATTTACCCCGAGGCTGTCACCATGGTGGGAAAGGGGAAAGGAGGCAGGGATGCCGGGCTCTGGGGAAACTCGGACAGAGCTCTCACATGGGACCTACCCCTCAGTTTTCAGTGAATCTCTTCCGGACACTGCCGCCATCATCAAATCCCACAGGGGCAGAGTTTGATCCAGAAGAAGATGAACCGACTCTGGAAGCGGCCTGGCCCCACCTCCAGGTAACCAGGGAGGGGCCGGCCTTGGCTATGGGGAAGGGGGATCCTCTCAGTCTTGGGGAATCCCCCTAAGCAGGTTTTATTTTCTCCCCACAGCTTGTATATGAGTTTTTCTTACGTTTCCTTGAGTCTCCTGATTTCCAGCCAAATATAGCCAAGAAGTACATTGACCAGAAGTTTGTCCTGGCTGTGAGTTCCTCACATTCCTGCCTGCCCTGCTCCATCCCATAAACTCTAGCCCCATGCCTTCCTCATCACCATGTCAGTGGCTCTCTTTATGCTGAGCATATAGGGTTTCAGCCTAGTCTGGTATAGGGGAGATTATGGGGGTTGACAAGACCTACTTTGTACCCTCTTAAGATTACTGGAAAATGGAAGCAAAACATGAAAGCAGCACAATGGCTCTCTCTTCCCACTTCTGTATACAAACCTGTGTGTCTGGGTGTTACTGTGGGAAGAGGAGCATGATAGGATCCCTCTTTCCAGAAACCCAGGGAGCCATGGTAGACTCGTCCATAGGGAGCTGTGGTGCTAACCCTGAAGGCCACACCTCTCTGGCAGTTTGAATCCACAAGCAGCTCTAAAGGAGAAATATGGGCAGTCTCCTCCCATGCGACTTACAGCTTTGGAAGCCCGCTGGAAGGTTGACTATGAATTGATTTTGACTCGCAGTAATAAGATATATGACATTCCAGAGACTTACTTTCCCGGAGAATCCTTAGTCCCATGCCACCCAGGCCTGGCTTTCCCAGGCTCCTGCCTTACTCCCTCCTCCTCTTCCAGCTCCTAGACCTCTTTGACAGTGAAGATCCTCGTGAACGGGACTTCCTCAAGACCATCTTACATCGAATCTATGGCAAATTTCTGGGGCTCCGGGCCTATATCCGCAGGCAGATTAATCACATCTTCTACAGGTGAGTTCAGGAGCCCAGACTTAAGAGCAAAGTGAGACCCTGTCAAGTTGGAGGGGAGGAAGGAGTGAGGGGACCCTGCAGCCAGCCAGGTCTCAGAGGGATAACAGGGAGCCTTTCTCTCCCCTCAGGTTCATCTATGAGACGGAGCACCACAACGGGATTGCTGAGCTCCTGGAAATCTTGGGCAGGTGAGAGGAGGAGCATAGATACCTGAAAGAGATTGGTATGCTGAGCTTCAGCCCTAACAGACCTCCTTTACCTCCCAGCATCATCAATGGCTTTGCCCTGCCCCTTAAGGAAGAGCACAAGATGTTCCTTATCCGAGTCCTGCTTCCCCTTCACAAGGTCAAGTCCCTGAGTGTCTACCATCCTCAGGTGAGCACCCTTAGTTGATGCCACCTGACTTCAGGCAGCAAGGAGGGGAAGATAGGCATAGGAATGGCTGGGCATGGCAGAGGGAGGGAGTGAGTTAACACCTTCCCTATATGCCCTTCCATTCTGGGATCTTATTTCTGTGACCTTTGGGATATGTACCTCACCTCTTTTTCTTTTCCAGCTGGCATACTGTGTGGTACAATTCTTGGAGAAGGAGAGCAGTCTGACGGAGCCGGTAATGCCCCTTCCATGCCTCAGGGCCCAACTCTCACCACCCACAGTATCATGTGCCAGTTTGTACCTATTGAATAATGACAGTGCCTTAAGTGAGCTCTCAGAAGGGATTTGAAGAAGTGGAGCCCACATGCACCTGGGAAACAAATTCAAGCCAGAGGACCAAAGGCAGTTAACTGAAGCCTTTTCAAGACTATGCACACAAGGGTCAGGGAGAGAGCAGGACAGCTTGCTGGAGAATGAGGCAGATGTTGCCTGAGAATCCCATCACCATGTCCCTTTTTACAGGTGATTGTGGGACTTCTCAAGTTTTGGCCCAAGACCCACAGCCCCAAGGAGGTGATGTTCCTGAATGAACTAGAGGAGATTTTGGATGTCATTGAGCCCTCCGAGTTCAGCAAGGTGATGGAACCGCTCTTCCGCCAACTTGCCAAGTGTGTCTCCAGCCCTCATTTCCAGGTGAGATCTCACCTATCCCAGCCCCAGCCTCTCAGGAACTCTGGAAGCTAGCACTGTCCCTGCTGAGTCCCGCCTCTCCCCACCAGGTGGCAGAGCGTGCCCTCTATTACTGGAACAATGAGTATATCATGAGCCTGATAAGTGACAATGCTGCCCGGGTCCTTCCCATCATGTTCCCTGCACTCTACAGGAACTCCAAGAGCCACTGGAATAAGTAGGGAGCTGGGTGGAAACTGGGAGGTGGGGTCTGGTTTCAGAACCTTTGAGGGTGGGGAGAATTTAAGAGCCTGGTCATTCAGCAAGTGGAGTTAGTGTTACTGTCTGATAGGACCTTTGAGGGACGGTTGATGTCAATGGGAGATCTGTGATGGCAAGAGCCCTGTGCTCTCCCACTTCTCAGAGCAAGATATTCCATAGGTCACATCACAGCTTCAGAGGTGTAATTCTCTAAGCTGATGTGATCCCCTTAAAGTATCCGTGGGCTATACAGCGGCTTCCCAGCTAAAAGCAGGCATTCACAGTCCATCATGCTGTTGGGTGCCCATTAGAGTGGGTTTGAGTGGAAAGTGGTGGGAAGGACAGAGGCCAGGGTGCATTAGGGGTGGGGTATGGACAGGTAGACTAATCTTTGTAAAGATCTTCAAATGCCAACCTCAAGTCACAGGCTAATTGATTTGGCTACAAAAATGAGTTCACCCTGTCTAGAGGTTGGTGGGGTGTGAGCAGTACATGAAAAAGCTCTTAGGAGAGAGGAAGTTGGGGCCCTGGCTCTAAGGACTGGCTCTAGCCCCCTGTGCCTATCTTTTTTCTTGGTGGTAGGACTATCCATGGACTGATTTATAATGCCCTTAAACTGTTTATGGAGATGAATCAGAAGCTTTTTGATGACTGCACACAGCAGTACAAGGCAGAGAAGCAGAAGTGAGTATCTTTGCCCAGCAGGCTCATCTTCCACGCCCAGCTCCCTTTATGCCTGTTGAGCCCACATGACCCTTTGCTTTCAACACTGCTACTTCAGGGGTCGATTCCGAATGAAGGAGAGAGAAGAGATGTGGCAAAAGATTGAGGAGCTAGCTCGGCTTAATCCCCAGGTGAGGCTTCTTGGCTACAGCCTTGAACTGAGGGGCCCATCTTGGGCTGAGGGTAAATTCTGAGGTAAACGGTCATACAAATCCCTAAAGGAACTTTCACGACCTGTCCCTGCTTCCTTTCCCTCAGTACCCCATGTTCCGAGCTCCGCCTCCACTGCCCCCTGTGTACTCGATGGAGACGGAGACCCCCACCGCAGAAGACATCCAGCTTCTGAAAAGGACTGTGGAGACAGAGGCCGTGCAGGTGGGAGAGCCTGGAAGGCTGAAATGAAATACATCTCAGAGAGGGGAGGGAGGCACAAGTAGCAGAGCCAAAGAATTAAGGGGAAGTAGAATTAGCTGGCAGTAGGTCTTGGTTCTCACTGCCTGTTCCACCTGCAGATGCTGAAAGATATCAAGAAAGAGAAAGTGCTGCTTCGACGGAAGTCAGAGCTCCCCCAGGACGTGTACACCATCAAGGCACTGGAGGCGCACAAGCGAGCTGAAGAGTTTCTAACTGCTAGCCAGGAGGCTCTCTGACCCCCCTCACCATCCCACCACAGGGCCACAGCCCACAGCCCTGGAACACCACCCGGCCCTCTACCCTATGCTCCCTATTGGCTGACTTGGGGCAAGACAGTGCCTCTCTAGCTACTCTTAGGGAGGGGGATGCAGGCACTTGAAGCAAGGACACCCACAGTGTGTCTCCTCTTCTCCCTTAAAATGTGTTCATGCCTCCCTGTGGCTAGTGCAGAATAGGCTGGGCTCCCTAGCCCCCTCCTGTTGCTCACCCCACAGCTATCTGAGGCTGCTCTGAGAAACACAGAAATCCATGTGCCACTCTCCCCCTCTTTATCCTCATTTGAGCTCCGGGTGTCTCTCCTCTTCCTCCCCTACAGAAGCATGTAGGGAGCAGCAGGAAATTCTCACCAAAGTTATGTCAGGCCCCACCGGCTCCTGGAGAGAGTAACTGGAGGGGAGTCCAGCCTCAAGAGCACAACCCACCCCCCAGCCCCAGCAGCGTGCAAGCTAATGTGGATGTATTACTCTTTCTTCCCACAGTGGTGTGGGAAAGTCATAGGAAAATACAGGCCATGGACAGTAGGTGATGAACACATGCCCAGATAGACCAAGGGGAGCAGGAATGAACAAAAATACCCTACCTTCTGCCCCCTCTTTGGTGAGCAGCAGTCCCAGGATCACAGACATGGATGGAACCACCCTGGGGGCCGACTGCTTCCCAGTGCTTTGGAAAAGAAGCTGGAAGGGAGCAGTGCCCCAAGCATGGCTCCAACACCTATTTATTTCCTTGTTTGTGCTAATGCTGGGCAAGTCCTCACTTGCCCCTCGCAGGTACCTTGCAGGGGTGAGGGGCTGAAGAGGGCTGGACCCGGGTTCCTGGGCATAGGCAAAGCGCCTTTTGGCTGTGTACATAGGGTGCTTTATTCTCTACAGAGCGATACATGCTAAGGAGGGTTGGGCTTGGGCCAACGTCCCCATATGTACAGAACTGAATAAAGTGGGTCTCCAAGAAGTCTGATTTGCCTTGATGTGGGAAGGGAGAAGGGGAAGATGGAGATAAACAATAAAAACAGGGATGTGTTTAGTCTTGTGCTGGTTCTGACATGGAATGCTGGGTGATAAGGCAGCTCTCGTCACTGTCACTTCCAGACTGGGGATGACTGCCGGGCTTGCAGGGCCTTCTGTACCACATCTTCCCACTGTGCGTCTGAGATCTCCCGCGCCCAGGCAGGAACCCCTGGAGCAGGAAGGCTGATTCCAGCCATTGTCCTTTTCACCAGCTCTACATGTTCTGAAAGCACAGCCAAGAGGCCAGTTAGAGCATCAAACAATGAAGCAGCTCTCTTCCCCAGACATGGAACAAGTCCTTGGCCTGGGGAGGCTACCAAGTCCATCTTATTTCTAGGAAAGTTTGCACTTCTGGCAAGTCGGGTAAAAGAGCATTTTGCCTGGATTCTGAGCTTTGCAAAATCTTAGTTTACAAACACTGTTATTAGGTGCCCTTGAGTACAACTAACAGCCACTCTTGTACAACAGATCTAATCATTATCCTATCTTGTACCATCTTCACAATCTCTGAGACAGTCAAGTCCATTGCTGTAGTGACTATGTCAACCCACCTGGTTGAGGGTCTTCTCTGCCGCCCTTCTACCTTCCCACAGATGATGTCCCTTTCCAACGTATAAGTCCTCCTAGCAACATGCCCCAAGTATGTGAGACGAAGCTTCATCATCCCCAAGTATGTGAGACGAAGCTTCATCATCCTTGCTTCCAAGGAGCACTGTCCAAGACATACCTGTTTTTCTGGCAATCCATGGGACATTTAGCACTTGGTTCTTCAACACCACAATTCAAAGACATCAACTCTTCTGTCATCCTTAGTCACTGTCCAGTTCTCAGATGCACAGCAAGTGATTGAAAAGACCAAGGCCTGAATCAGGTTCACCTTAGTCCTCAAAATGACACTGTTCCTCAATAATTTGGGAGAGGTCCCTGACTGCAGACTTTCCAGTGTAACTGACCTCGTGACTGCTAGTACCAAGTGTACTGTTTGTGAAGAACAGTCATTTCCCCCTTACAGATGCTGTCAGTCCCTTTTCACCGTAATTATTCTAGAATGGTCTCTTACCTGGGTCCATGGGAATAGAGCTATGGTTGCTCAATGCTGTAGCTCCCTCCTCCTCTTCATCTTCACTCTCTATGGGAGGGTCTGGCAAATGCAGCCCTAGGGCCTGCAAAGCCAGAGAAAACAGTCCCAGGGCAACCCTTCAAAGGCTCCCTACCTCACCTGCGCAGGTGTGATTCCTCCACCATACCTGGATCCGCTCCTGGATGTCAGCAACTACATCCTCTATATCCCCGACAGGTGCCAACTCCACCTCCTCTTGTTCAGGATCTTGGTTCAGGGGCTGGTAAGAATAGCCAGCTGGGCCTACCCCTGCTTCCTCCTGCTCTTCTTCGTGCTCTTCACTGCTCCAATCCCCAGTGCCTTCTGTGGAGCCCACATGCGGCCCTAGTTCCTCAGTCTGATTGGGAAAGATTCGCTCTGGGCCCATGGTGTCTCTTGCTAGAACAACTGCTGCCATCCGGGGCAGGGGCTGCAATGAATAGCAAGGCAAAACAAGGCCCGAATATAACCAAGTCCACCTTCCATCTCTATTCCACATTACGTTTTCCTCTAGGATTTATGAAATGTTTAAATACTCCAAGGTTTTGACTCCCAATCCTCCAGCTCAGCTTGTGCCCGCCCTCACCTCCTAAGAGTGGATCCAGTAATTGCTAAACAAATAGCCCAGCCTGTACGACTCATAGCGACCCTATGAACGACAAGATGTGAACCCTGTGCTATCCTATGCCATCCTCACAATCTCTGACACACTTCAGTTCGTTGCGGCAGTGACAGTCAATCCACCTGGTTGAGGATCTTCGCCATCGCCATCCCTCCACCTTTCCTTCTTCGAAGAATAACCTCTCCTAGCAACATGTTCAAAGTATGTGAGACAAAGCTTCGCCATCCTTGCCTCCAAGGGTAGCTCTTGGAGTAGGTGCAGCCCGGCCCGAGGACCCACCAACCTCCCCTTTGCAGGGTACCGGGTCACCAGACTCTATTCTAGACAAGTGTCCCCGCCCCCTTCTTCTCACTCCACCAGGATCCTTCTGGACCGCTTGACAGATTCCCGAAGCTTCCTGCAGCTTCCCCCAAATGGCCCTAGTGGCAGGGGCTCCCAGGCGACCCTGCGGGTTCTCCGAGACTGCGTCCCCGGGAGCCTCACCCGCTCAGAGCCCGCGGTGGTATCCGCACCTTCACTTCCGGCCCCACAGGACGCGCCGGGGCTCCCGGTCTTCCAACCCCGCCCCGTGCTCATGATTGACTCGAGCGAGGACCAGCAGCCCGCCTTTTGCCCCGTCTCCGTCACTTCCTGCCCAAACAAAGGACTACATTACCCAGCCGCCCTCACGAGTTGACGCCAAATTCGTACATGCGCAAAATCTTGCCTCCCGCTTCTTCCCACCCTCAGTCTTTCTCGTCCCTCCGGAAACCGTAGACTACAAATCCCGGGAGGCCTCTGCCCTCAGCTCCGACTGCACGTGCGCACACTGCTGTCCGCCGGAAGGACAGATTTTTGGCTGTGTTTACCTCGTTGGGTACCAAGTCGGTTGGCACGCAACGGGTTCTAGGCTGCAGGCTGCGCGAGGACCCGCAGCCCCGCCCCGGCCCGGCCTGGCAGGTAGCCCAAGATGGGTAGAAGAACGGGGAAGCATTAAGGGGGGATTGAGACCCTAATGTCGAGAGCTCAAGCGGTGGGGGAGGGGCCTGAAGTGATGGGGGGGTTGGGCAGAGAAGCAGGGGAGGGGAGATGATGGGAAAGAAGAGTGTTAATAAGGGAGAAGAGCTGGGGAGGAGACTCCTGGGAGGTACTTGATGAGTGGAGGAGACATTGAAGGGAATTGGAAGCAAGATGAGGTTATGAGGCGAACCGGCCAGCTTAGCATAATGGAGGAAGGGGCGCTGGCGTGGTGGGGGGAGGGGAAGCCGGGATGGTAGGAAGAAGTCAGGGATTGCTTCAGAGCCAGACAGGAATAACCCTGGCCGAAAGAGGCCAATGAATGATTCTGTTTTCTTCTCTGATTGGAAGAAGGAAAGCTGGAGGGCTGTCGGGTGGAGCTTGGAGTAGTGGGAGAAGAGGAAATGGGAAAACTGCAAAGCTCTCAGGAGATCCAGGAGGGCCAGAAATAGTGGTATTTGCCGACGTCTTGGGAAGAGGGTAGGTACATGAAGGAACGCGAGGAAACTTGAGACTGCAGCAGTCAGTGATGGAAGAGCGGGGGACCCCAAGTTGAGAGCAGTGTTTGAGACCCTTCAGCTTGTTTTCCAGGAGCATGTGTTGTTTTTATAGAGGAGAAGCTAAGGTTCTCTTTCCACCTTTGTCTGGAGTGTCTCTTCCCCTGCAAATTCATCACAGTGAGGAGTAGGAACTATGAAGGAAGGTGAATTTCTTCCATTCTTAAGATCTTCAATCTCCTCTCTGTTCCCTTGAGCCTAGATAAAAGATAGGATTCAAGGAGGTATTGATTAAGTGAAACTAGCTTCTACTTGGGGCTATTTCAAGTTAGGACAAATGGCTATTTAAAGCTTGGGGTAAGGGATTGGGGGAGGTTATGTGTTTGGGACTGGCAAGCTAGCTGAAGGCAGCCTCACTTTACTGCAAGGAGCCTCCCCTTATTTGAGCTTTCTCTGTGCCTGATGTTCTGCCTGGCTCTTCCTGCTGCCAGGACTTCTTGAACAGGGAGCATATGATCCATCCAAACCCAGCAGGTGCCTCCTAGCAAGGACAGTGCCAAGTTGCCAGAGGATTTGCCTGACAGAGCCCATAAATGTGCTCATTATTAGGTGGTTGCCTGTTGTCTATAAGAAACCTTGAGCTCTGGTCTCATTTTTTTGGCTTGTCCAAGGACATTTTTGCTGCCTTTCTCCTTTTCAAGGCACGTGTCTACCCACTCCCTTTCAGGGTATTGTGGTGGGAGAAGAGCTGCTGGCCACACAGCTTGGTCTCTGCCACAACAGTAACAGGTCTGGAGGGGAGGCAGGAGAGAAACCCTCCTCCACACCCCATTAATCCCTAGGAGACACATACCTTTCTGGCTTAAGTTCCTGGTCTTGGCAGCATACCAGGCGCAGCTGTTAAAGGAATTCCTCATTCCTGTGGGGGAGTTCCTGGGTGACCCCAGTGACAACAGCTCCGTTTGACCAGAGCTCCCTCTAAGGGGCTAACCAGTCATGTCAACACGGAGGTCCCTAACCTTGGGTCATTCGCACCCGAAGTGGCTGGAAGCTTTTCTGCTTGGAAGTGCCCGTGCCAGCTTTGATGTTGTCCAGAGTTGGCCAGGCTATTAATAGCGCTGAGTATTTTGAGATCCTTTTCCCTACCTTAAAGAGCACAGATTCTTAGAGAGGTGGCAGTAAGCAGAGCAGAGGAAGGGGGCTCGAAGCTTACACCAGCCTAGAACCAAGGTGGTGCTTCTTCTGGGTAGAGGGTGACTCTGCTGAGTCCCTGGTCAGCAGATTCTGAGCTGGCTAACAATCAGGTTGAAGTGGCCCCACCCTTTGCTGTTAGAGAACACAGACTAGGGCTAGCTGTCTGACCTCAGCAACTCCCCTGGGGCAAGGACAGCCACCTGGGTGGTGACTAGTGTCCCTGTAAAGGGGTGGTGCGGGAGGGCCACCAGGGTTGGCTCTGGACAGAGTCACAGTGGTTGCCTGAGGAGTGCATGACCCTCACTTGTGTGCAGGAAGCAGAGGCAGCAGGCCGTGCCGGGGGGGCATGTTGCTGTAACCAGTGACCCAGGGGATGTTACGGTGGACAGTGCACCTGGAGGGCGGGCCCCGCAGGGTGAACCATGCTGCAGTTGCTGTTGGGCATCGGGTCTACTCCTTCGGGGGTTACTGTTCTGGTGAAGACTATGAGACGCTGAGACAGATTGATGTGCACATTTTCAATGCAGGTAAGCCAGTGCCAGGGTCATTCCCGGGTGTGCACATCAGGGAGCGAGTGGGTGGCTGGCTGAGGTTTGCTAATGGTGCTTGTGGCCAGGGGATGGAGGGGCAGACATGCGGTTTGGGAAAAACGGACAGGCTGGAAAGGGAGGTTCTCAGAATTAAGCAGAACTGTGTCCACAGTGTCCTTGCGTTGGACAAAGCTGCCACCGGTGAGGCCTGCCACCCATGGACAGGCTCCTGTAGTACCTTACATGCGATATGGACACTCAACTGTCCTCATTGACGACACAGTCTTTCTTTGGGGCGGGCGGAATGACACAGAAGGGGCCTGCAACGTTCTCTATGCCTTTGACGTCAGTGAGTATGGACAGGTTGTGCTTGCCAAATGGGCGCCTCACGGGGTTGGGAAAAGTGTGGACTGTGGTAGGGTGGGGCTGTGGGAATAGGCTACCCCAGCATTTGAAGGGAGTGTCAGAAGTTGCTTACGTGGATCATACCCTTTTCTTCTCAGATACTCACAAGTGGTCCACACCCCGAGTGTCGGGAACAGTTCCTGGGGCCCGGGATGGGCATTCAGCCTGTGTCCTGGGCAAGACCATGTACATTTTTGGGGGCTACGAACAGCTGGTAGGTCTGGGAAGAAATTCAAGGTTCAGAGTGGGAACAAGAAAGAAGCAGGGGAATTGAGGATGGGTGGGATAGTAGATTTTGCCTTGTTTCTAAGTTTTGAGGGAAAGGATGAGAAGTTAGGGAGTGACCACTGTCCCCTGTTATTCCTTGTTCACTCCCCTTCATTTTCCCCTACTCAGGCAGACTGTTTTTCCAATGACATTCACAAGCTAGATACCAACACCATGACATGGACCCTTATTGGTACAAAGGTATGTCCTTTGTTCTTCCCGCCAGATCTCCATCCTCAGTTGAAAAAAATCACAGGATCCTCAGAAGGAATTGATCCCTTCCCTGCTGATCCCCTTCCCTTCCTGCTCTTTCTGCTCCTGTCCAGGGTAACCCGGCACGCTGGAGGGACTTCCATTCAGCCACCATGCTGGGAAATCACATGTATGTCTTTGGGGGTCGTGCCGACCGCTTTGGGCCATTCCACTCCAACAATGAGATTTACTGCAACCGCATCCGCGTCTTTGACACCAGGACCGAAGCCTGGCTGGACTGCCCACCCACCTCAGTGCTGCCTGAGGGACGCCGGAGCCACTCAGCGTGTGAGCGTCTGTCACATCTCTGCCCGAGTCCTCCTTTTGTACCTATTCCCCTCACACTCTTGTTTTTTCTCTCTGCCAGTCGGATATAATGGAGAGCTGTACATCTTTGGGGGCTATAATGCAAGACTGAATCGGCATTTCCATGACCTCTGGAAGTTTAACCCTGGTAGGGAGCCACTGAAGCAAAAAAGAAAGAATAATAATGCTGCTAGGTGAGAGGATGGGGGTGGAGATGATTTTCAGGCTAGGCAGGCATACAACCTTTTCTTTTCTGTAAAACGTCTCTCTAGTGACCTTTACTTGGAAGAAGATTGAACCAAAGGGGAAGGGGCCCTGTCCCCGGCGGCGCCAGTGTTGCTGTATTGTTGGTGACAAAATTGTCCTCTTTGGGGGTACCAGGTTAGGAGGAGAAAGGGGAGGGTTCAAGGGAACAGCTTATACCTGTGACTAGCATGCGAGTGGGAGGTGTTTGAGCAAGAGGGCCTTGTAGGGAGTTTCCTTCTTCAACTCTCTTTTGATCCTTACAGTCCTTCTCCTGAGGAGGGCCTGGGAGATGAATTTGACCTCATAGATCATTCTGACTTGCACATTTTGGACTTCAGTAAGTGTGCTCATTCCCAAAGTGCTCCTCCAGTTGGGGTTCTTCCTAGGTAGTGACACCCAAGATGGGCTCCTTTTCTGGTTTTGACTATTTCCCACTTCCCCCTCTTCCCCAAAGGCCCTAGTCTGAAGACCCTGTGCAAACTGGCCGTGATTCAGTATAACCTGGACCAGTCCTGTCTGCCCCATGATATCAGGTACAACTTGTGGTTGGAAAGAAGGGAGTGGTTTTGGGGGGCAGGGGGAAGTGCGCAGCATAGGCATGATCTTGTTAGTTTGGTCTCAGTTTTTCTGCTGGATATGTAAGCATGCTTACAGAAAATAAGATAGAAAAGAAGTTAAAGTCATCATAGAATGAAACTGCCAGCTGGTAAATTACAGGTCTGCCCTACTAGGAAATATTTCTTAAGCTTGAAACGGCAAAAAGTGAAGAAGCAGGAAGTGTTTCCCATTTGTGAAAAATTTTGGAGCATTCCCAGACCCCCAAAATACTCTATACCAAATGACACATAAACGTAAAATACCAGAGATGAGGAGGCTGGTGCAGGACAGAGCAAGGTTCACATCTGTCATTCATTGATTGTTTGAGTTGTAGGTGACTTGGTAGCCCTTAATAACAACAATTGCAAAAGGAGAGGGCATCTGAGTTAGGGCTTTAAAAGAACAACCTAAATCATGACTGTGGTAGTTTGATGCTGTGTGTAGTCTCAGGAAAGAGCTTAGTGAAGCCACAAAATCATTCTCAGTGCTTGGATGGTTACCTTGTTACTGGTTAGCTCCAAAACAACACAAACAGTGGTTTTTAATTTTTGGTAAAATAGAATTTCTGATTTCTTTTGGTTAGCAAAAACAGGTACTAAGGTAATTTTTTTTTTTTTTTTTTTTTTTTTTTTGGTAACAATGGAGTGGTACAAAGTGATCTTTCAAAAAGCAGGAAATACCTGGATATAGGGGGGAGGGAAATTCTGGGATTTCACACCAAGCTCAGGAGTATCATTTCCTGAGATGTAAGCCTGTGCAGTTGATGTTGTTAATATGCTGAGGAGATTTGATAAAGGCTTAGAACCTAGTTGCAAAAAAGCTGGAGGTCAGAGGTCAAAAAAAGAAAGGAAGACTGGAAGACCCCCAACAAGCTGGATTGACACAGTGACTCTACAGTGGGTATGAGTGTATCAGAAATCGTGAGGATGGCACAGAATAGAGAGCAAGGTTCATATTTGTTGTTCAAAGAGTTGCTGTGAGTCGTAGATGACTCAATGGCACCTAATGAGTTGCAAAATAAGTTAAGGTACCTTTGGATCAAATTCGTTCCAAATTAAGGCTCATTCTGGCTCTACTTCTCTTTCAATTCCATTCATATGTCCAAATCAAGCACTGTAAGTTATTTTGTGTACAATTGTGCTTGTTTGGATTATTCTGCCACCCTTCCCTCCTTAATCCATCCATTTTGACGCTTGGCTCATTATCTGGTGCCAAGAAGTGTACAAGGCTGTACTTACTGTTCTGGATACTGGGCTGGCTTGACTGACAGTTGTATCAGTATTTAGTAGACTAGGGAGGGTCTTGGTATAGAAGAAACTTTGGTAAATCGTTTCAGAAGGAAAGAGTTATCAAATAGGAATTAATTTTAATATGGGGTGATGTGTGGGGAAAGCCTCAGAGAGAATACGGGATCTCTGAGGGCTTTAAAGAATAAGAGTGGAAAATGAAAAAAATTCTTGGTGGGGTGAGGTGGTAAGGCTACCCTTAGACTTGAGCAGAGCAGGCAAGATAGGCTGAGGTGTTAGTTGAGATACATACAGTTTCCCCCAGGTGCTTGGACATGAGGCTGTATATAAACATAAACAGGAAATCCATGTATAAATATAAACAGGAAATCCATGGGGACTTGGAGGAGGTGGAGGAGTGGGTGGTATTGGATTTGGTGGTGAGGTCTGATTGCTAAACCTAGGAGGGTTTTAAGGAGGTGGCCAAGCTTTAGGATGAAGGAACTGCAGGAGTATTGAGAGGAAGCAAGCAGTTCAGGGGCTGGCCGTGGGAGCTCCACTTCTCTTGTCCCTTCTGCCTGTTACTCTTGGCCATCTAGGTGGGAGCTGAATGCCATGACCACCAACAGCAATATCAGTCGTCCCATCGTCTCGTCCCATGGGTAGGAGGAAGTTTTCTGCCATCTCCCCACCTGAGCCTGCTGTTGTCTTCACTGCCCCTGACCATCTCTCACCTGGCTGCTTCTTTGAATCCTGGACTCCATACACCTCCACGTGGAGTTGCTGGACTAGAGGTGTTTTCTGTGCTGTGAACTCAGTGGGGAGTCACTGGGGAGAGGGCTAGGTCTCTCCCCATCTGGGGCCAAAGGCCTCTTCCCCTTGGTGCTGTGTCTCATCTACACTTACTTCTCCAACTACTCCTGGGCCTCTCTGCTCTGCCCCTGGCCAGTCACCCTGGGAAGGGAAAAGAAAGGGGATAAAGGCAAAGCAAGCAGTGGCTGACTGAGCCTCAGGAGCTTCCTCAAATTCTTCCTCTCCCTCCCCCCCTGCCTGATCCATGTGAGCATTGACTGGGAGCTGAGAGGAGTTGCAGCTATTGGCATGAAACCTCTTTCTCCCTCAGCTGGGGACCAGCAGATAATCCCACCCATTTGCTGCCTGAGTTGTTGCTGTAACCTGAAGCTCAGCCAGCTCAGATTTTGTAACAATTAAAAACCTCAAACCGTGTGTTATCTGTTCTTGTGGAGTCCAATGGCAACATCTGGAGTTTGCACTGGGAGCTGGGTGCTGAGAAGGGGTGGCCATGAGATTCTCAACCCAGAGCTCTGGGAAATCCAGTGACACCATGGGCAGGCCCGGCCCCTGGACTCCGAGTTGAGAGGTCTGTCAGCCCCGTGTCTCAGCCAAAGAGTTAAAAGTTAAAGGAGGAGTTGGTTCTCCTTTGGGCGACATCGCCCCCAGGGGCCCCGTGGCCTCTCCCTAGCCCGAGGTGTTTTCAGTACATCAACAGCTTGTGCTGGGCGGCTGCCGGAAGGGGCGGATCTTAAGACGTCGTAAGCGGAAGTAGCGACCTTCATCATCCGAGTGGTGCGGAACGTGATGCCCAAAGTTAGACCGCGAGATAGGTCCGCGGCTCCGGGCCCTGCAGGGGCCCGGGGCGGCGGGGACGTGGAGTCCGGGTCTCCGAGGCACGACCTGCGAGAGGGTGAGGGTTGAAGAGGCGGGAGTGCGAGGGGTGGCGGGTGCCGGCCGGTCCGTGCGAGTTCCTGGTCTACTGGGAATGGGGTGGGATGGGGTGTTCGAACCGGCTGAGTTCTCCAGAAAGTGCCCCCAAGACAACGGAAAATGGAGAGCCGGTTCTTAAAGACCAAAGGGGTTTTTTCTCCATGGAGGGCGGGGGAAGGAATGGATCACTATTGGACAAATTCTACCTACTTGAAGCTCTACTATATGCAGGCAACCGTTTAGCCATTGCATTGGTACTTGAAGATAAGGTAATAAGTAAAACATAAACTTTTTGCCCACTGGAGCGTAATTTTCGGAACGGGCAGCCCCAAGGGTAAACAAGCTATTAAAAGGTCTAAAGCACGGAGGTGTATCTTTTTAAAAGGTGACGGTTTTAGGATGTGACTTGTGTAAGTTTTTAAAGGGAAAAGAAATAGATCCAGTGAGGAGTCGAAATTTTAAATTTGAAGTCAGAAGGTCTCACTGAGATGGTGACATTTGAACAAAAATTTGAAGGAAATGAGTGAGCAATTGCAGATAATCAGGAGAGAGTGTTCCAAATGGAGAAAATATCAAGGACAAAAAAACTGAGGCAGGATCATACCTTTCTACTCATGATTAGAGACATTACAGGCAACATGTAAGGGGACTCTGGTGGCCTAGTGGTGAGCAGTTGCATTGCCAATCCCAAAGGCATACAGTTTGATGCACCAGCTGCTCTGTGTGAGAAAGATGGGCATTTTTCCTCCTTTGTTAATTGCCTCTGAAAACCCACGGGAGGGTCAGCTATAGCTTGGTTCTGATTCACATCACATGCAGGTCATGTGGGGGCTTCCAGATGTATAGCTTTTACCCTGAGTAAAGCATAAGTCACTGGGGAGTTTTTAATTCAGGAGTGACATGGTCCAAAACAACTGAGATATCATCTCACCCCAGTAACAGTAGCAAAATTCAGCAGAGCTACAAACAACAAATTCTGGAAAGGTTGTGGAAAAACTGTATTCACTGTTGGTGGGAATGTAAAATGATGCAACCACTAGGGAAGGCAAGTATGGTGCTTTCTCAAAAAGTTGGAAATAGAAATACCACCGGAATTGGCAATTCCACTACTGGAATTCCGCTACTATCCTAAAGAAACCAGAACTGCCACCCAAGCAGATATATGCACACCCATGTTTATTGCTGCTTTGTTCACAATAGCAAAGAGTTGGAAACAACCCAAGTGCCCATCAACAAACGAACGGATAGAGAAGCTGTGGTATAGTCACATAATGGAATATTATGCAGCATTGAAAAACAACTAATGAAATATACAAAATGGGTGACCCTGGAGAATATTATGCTGAGTGAAATATCTAAGTCACAAAAAGGACAAATACTGCATAATGTCACTGTTATAAAACAGGCCTGACATTGGGGTTGGGGGAAAACTAAGAAGAGGATAAATTATGTACACTGCATTGAGACAGATGAGGGAGAGAACTGTTTAAAAGGAATATATGATTAGTAGTTATTTGCATGGCCAGAGTTCAGAATAAGAACTTGATAGTAAAGTGGATAGCAGAGTAGTAAAGCAAATAATTTTTTTCTTTTTTCAAAGAGAAAAGCAAACTTGTAGGGAAGGGTGGACAGGGAGGAAAATGTGCACAATGAATAAATGGAAAATAACATTTTTTTAAATAGGAAGATAATAAAAAGGGGGAAAATGTATTTTATACTGGTTTAAAAAAAAGGGGGACATGGCCTTAGGTATATAGAATGTGGAAACAGGTGGGAGTGACAAGCAACTTTTGAGATGCCTCTCTGGCCAAAGAGGAAGGTGAAACTGGAGGCTGAAGGACTAGGTAGGAGGTTAGTACACTGACTGATGTGAGGGATGCTGAATAGGAACCTGGGACATTAGTGGTGATGACTGACTGAGGGAGTGATTTAAGGAAGGTAATTGAGAGCATTATGACTTGGTTCTTCACCAACCTCACACAGATATCTCCCTTCACAAGAGGCTCCTGATTGTTGCAACACTTGGTGTCAGTTTAGCACCATTATAGCCTCCACCACCTGGGACTTCTAATTGGTCTCCAGAGTTTACTGAAAGTGGTGAAGGTGGGCAGGTGTCTGCAGCTACTGAGCTATGTGTTTCTCCTGATTCTTCTTTCCACAGGCACATCCAACATGTCATTTGAAGAGCTATTGGAATTGCAGAACAAAGTGGGGACCAAGAAGTATAAACAATTGGTGGTTGGAAACTGCACTAGAAAGCAAGATTCTAGACCACTTGCCCAAAATCAGTGTATTGCAGATAAGCACAAGTGAGGAGCAAGGCTTGCCCTGCTGTTGGAGGCTCTCTAGCGCCTTGAGCAGGGGTCTGCTCTCTTGGGTGGCAGATGGGAGGCCTTGAACCAAGGCTGGAGTCTCCTTGACTTGTCTTTTAACTTCCTCCTAGGCCTCTGGAAATGTCAGCAAAAGCTCGGGTGCCATTTTTACGTCAGGTTGTCCCCGTCAATAAAAAGGTGAGGAAAAGAGGACATTTTCTTTTTGAAAGGAGACACAACAATTCTGTTTCAAATTTCTTCTATTCTCTCCAAAGGTGGCCAGGGACCCCCGTTTTGATGATCTTTCAGGAGAGTATAATCCTGAGGTGTTTGACAAAACATACCAATTCCTGAATGATATCCGAGCCAAAGAGAAAGAGGTGTGTACCATAACACTGAGTCATGCAGGTTTTTTAAGAGGGTGGGAAACTAGGACACAGGAGCAGGTAACATAGGTGGATTTAAATCTAATGTAGTTCTTACATTCAGACTTGAGCCATCATTTTCCTAGCCCTGTGGTCGTTAGCAATTTATTTAATTTCTGTGATCCAGATTTCTAATCATTGAAAGAATAATTCCTACCTCAAAGTGAAGAATTGATGGCTTTAAGCTGTGATGTTGGAGTACTGAACATCTCATGGACTGCCAAAAGAACAAACAAAATACGTCTTAGTCAGAGTGCCTTCAGAGGCAAAGATGATAAAGCTTTGCCTCACATAATCTGGGCATGTTGCTAAGAGGTGCTGTACCTTGGGAGGGACATAATGTGTGGAAGGGCAGAGGGTTGATGAAGGAGAGGAAGTCCCTTAACTAGGTAGGTTGACCCAGTGACTGCTGCAATGGATTCTATTGTGTCAGGAAGTGTGAGGATGGCACAGGATAGGACAGGGTTCAGATCTGATGTTCATAGAGTTGCTGTGGGTGGTACCCAGTTCACCCTCACCTAACATCAACAACAACCTCAAAGTGTTATTGGGCTTTATGTATGTGAACGTCTTAGAATGAAGTTTGGCACACAATTTCAGCCAACACTTGATAGAATGCTAATTGTCACATTTGTCTTTTGATGTGAAGATTGTGAAAAAGCAGTTGAAGAAGCATCGTTCAGGGGAACAGCACCAGAAACTGCAGCTGCTACTTCAGCGAATAGTGAGTGCTTAATAATTGTGGGAGGGTGATGCCATCTGGTCAAGATAGGATTCACAAGTCCCTCCGATTCACCCATCTCACCTTTCCTCCTCAGGAGCAGCAAGAAGCCGCACAGCAGGAGCGAAAGCAGCAGCAGGAGCTGCGCCTCGCCCTGAAGCAGGAGCGACGGGCTCAGGCCCAGCAGGGCCATCGGCCATACTTCCTGAAGAAGTGTAAGTACGGCGTGCCATGGTTACCGGGACCAAGTTGTGGGAGCCATACTGCAGAAAACTGTTAAGTTTCAGGGAGTTCTCTAGGGCTAGATCCCATGGTAACCTGAGAAGAAAGCATTAATAGTAGAGAGGACCTCTTTGTGATCATTTTGTATGCTAAGTTAGGTTTTGGGCTTTCTCTCTGTATCATTACTCCAAGGGTACTGACTAGGCCCATAGAGGTTCACAGTTAGTTGACTCAAGAAGTAATACTTGAACAGGGCTCCAAACCAGTTCATTGAGGTTTGACCTCCTGCTTTGGATTTGCATTTCCTGTGTCAAGCCAGTACAAAGCCAACAAGTTTTCACAGCTATAAATTTTTATGAGAGGAAACTACCCGCCTTTCTCTCAAGGAGTTGTTGTTGTTGTTGTTGTTTGGTGCCGTCAAGTCGTAGACTACTCATAGCGACCCTATGAACGAACAGCCTGAGCACTGGTTCGTACATAGAGATTCTGGAGGCAAGCCATTTCGGAAGTAGATGCCGCTCCTGCTTCCAGGCTTGATTTAGTCGGGAAGCTCCAGCCAACACTGTCCACCATGGGTGCCCATTACCACGATTGGCACATCACTGTCACAGGCTTCAGCATTACAGCAACCACGAGTTACCTCTGTACAGCAACGCACAGACAATGTTATACCACCTAGAAGAACGTTTGACAGGAAAACAATTTGAACCTGGCCGAGGGCTGCAGATGAAAATCACCCACCTTTGGCTTGGTAGCATACTTCCTTTCCACTAGGTCAACGTAGCTCTCTCTTTGTCGTTGTTGTTATTGTTGTTTGGTGCC